GTCAGCCTGGGAGAAGTTAAAAAGGGGTTTTTCCTTTAAAGAAGAAGTTATTGAAGACAGTTGCCTGTCCTTCGTGGGCAAGATTAGGAATTCACCAGTTGCCTAAAAGCTTGGAATCATTTGCTTAACTTTACTGAAGACAAGAGAAGTTTCTGTTTGATTGTTCATTAATAAAAAACTTTGTTGTACTTCTCAAGCCATCTAAAGACTGTTTGTGGTGGAAACCTCTGAGAACTTCTCTTTAGGCCTCTGGCTTCCCGCTGGGCAAAGGTTGCACGTCCTGTTCTAAAGGAAATTCTTTACAGGCCCAGCTCACAGAACAATGCTTCATTTGCATTTTATACAGTGGGGGCCATTTTACTACACCATTGTATATAGCAGGACTTCAGCATCCATATGGTTTGGTGAGGCACACACACTCTGTTAAAGAAGGCTAAATATGACAATCTACAAATCCCATAACCCCATAACATTGAGTCATGGCAGTCAAAGTGATATCAAAGTGTATTAGTTCTAAACTGTAGATGTACCCTATGTTTCCCCTTTCTATCTAAATCTGCCACTATGAAAACCAAAATCAAAGCTCTTTGGGGAATAGGAAGCTGTTGATGTTTAAGTAATGCTCTTTCGGCGGAAAAGCGGAAACGAAATAATTGAGTTGTCCTGAAAAAATCAGTAAATAGTGGCTGATGCTGCCTGGCCCGAGCGGTCACTGTCACGGCCGTCTTCAAATTGATCTTAATTGGACAATGAAGTATTAATGACTTTCACGGGGAGAGCACTGAGACGAAGCAATTACGTTAATGTACCAAGCTCTCCCACCACATTGTCAGTCCAGGCACGGCTCGGCAGGGATCACCTAACTTATATGACATAATTGTAGCCTAAATTGATTTAAAACCATCTAAATGGGAGCATGTTATAATGTTCTTCTAGTAATCATGCAAATGGCAAAGGAAGATTTCAATCCTGTTTTTAGTTTCTATTTTGGCTGAATGAAATAGGTTTTGGGGGAAAAAAAACCCATAATGAATAATTACTGAAGGTTGCACATTTTTTTTCCCTTAGGGGTAAAAAAAATACATTTGCAGAGTTGCACTTGAATGCTTTGGCTTTTTGGAATGGAGTGTATTTTGAAATAATATGGTTAGATGCCCATATAAGATTTACAAAATCTTTATATCTGGGTGAGCAATTTCAAAGTGTCTGAGGAGTTGTTTTCCATCAACTTTGATCCCTCTACAGGCTACACTAATATTTTATTCAAAACCGAAAACAATCAATAGGTTTTTGCAAAACAAAACAAAAGGCATTTTGGCTTTGACAAAGGCTGCATTTAGCTGTATCTCTATTAGGGTTGTCAGAGAATACTGAAGACAGTCCTTGAACTTATAGTAGTTGCACAGAAGAGTAGATTTCAGAAGGTGTTATAGAATGATAGAATCATAGAGTTGGAAGAGACCTCATGGGCCATCCAGTCCAACCCCCTGCCAAGAAGCAGGAAAATTGCATTCAGTGCACCCCCAACAGATGGCCTTCCAGCCTCTGTTTAAAAGCTTCCAAAGAAGGAGCCTCCACCACACTCTGGGGCAGAGAGTTCCACTGCTGAACGGCTCTCACAGACAGGAAGTTCTTCCTAATGTTCAGATGGAATATCCTTTCTTGTAGTTTGAAGCCATTGTTCCGCATCCTAGTCTCCAGGGCAGCAGAAAACAAGCTTGCTCTCTCTTCCCTATGACTTCCTCTTATGTATTTATACATGGCTATCATGTCTCCTCTCAGCCTTCTCTTCTTCAGGCTAAACATGCCCAGCTCTTTTAACTGCTCTTCATAGGACTTGTACTCCAGACACTTGATGATTTTAGTCACCTTCCTCTGGACACATTCCAGCTTGTCAGGATCTCCCTTCATTTGTGGTATCCAGAATTGGACACAGTGTGATTCCAGGTGTGGTCTAACCAAGGCAGAATAGAGGGGTAGCATGACTTCCCTGGATCTAGACACTATACTCCTATTGATGCAGGCCAAAATCCCATTGGCTATTTTTGCTGCCACATCACATTGTTATCTCATGTTTAACTTGTTGTCCATGAGGACTCCAAGATCTTTTTTACACGTATTGCTCTCGAGCCACGCACCCCCCATTCTGTATCTTTGCATTTCATTTTTTCTGCCAAAGTGGAGTATCTTGCATTTGTCACTGTTGAACTTCATTTTGTTAGTTTTGGCCCATCTCTCTCATCTGTTAAGATTGTTTTGAATTCTGCTCCTGTCTTCTGGGGTATTGGCTATCCCTCCCAATTTGGTGTCATCTGCAAACTTGATGATCATGCCTTCTAACCCTTCATCTAAGTCATTAATAAAGATGTTGAATAGGACCGGGCCCAGGAGGAAACCCTGCAGCACTCCACTCATCACTTCTTTCTTGTTACCTGGCTGTGTCACAAGCAGCACTTGATGAAATTCCCTCTTATTCACAACCATTGAATGTACACAAGCCCTCTCTCTGAACATTATTGTGGAACAAAATTGTTGTTTATTCGTTCAGTCACTTCTGACTCTTCGAGACCTCATGGACCAGCCCACACCAGAGCTCCCTGTCAGCCGTGGCCACTCCCAGCTCCTTCAAAAAGTCAAGCCAGTCACTTTAAGGATACCATCCATGCACCTTGGTCGGCCCCTCTTCCCTTTTCCTTCCATTTTCTCCAGCATCATTATCTTTTCCAAGCTTTCCTGTCTTCGCATTATGTGGCCAAAGGACTTAATCTCTGCCTCTAATATCCTTCCCTCCAGTGAGCAGTTGGGCATTATTTCCTGGAGGATGGACTGGTTTGATCTTCTTGTGGTCCAAGGCACTCTCAGAATTTTCCTCCAGCATCACAGTTCAAAAGCCTCTTTCTTCCTTTACTCAGCCTTCCTTATGGTCCAGCTCTCACAACCATAGGTTACTACGGGGAATACAATTGTTTTAAACAAAATAATAGTAACTAAAAGGGGAGGAGAGAGCCAAAATGTTGTCATGGTTTGAGCATTGAAAGATATCTCTGGAGACCAAAGTTTAAATTCCCGCTTGTCCATGGAAACTCATTGGGTGACATTGCACTGGGTGCACACTGACAGCCCTAGAAAACCTTGCCTTAGGGTTGCCATAAGATGGAAATGACTTAAACAAGGAAAAGGGGAGAGAAAGAATAGAAGGAGGTAAAAAAAATGCAAAATGCAACTAAAACTCAGGAAAACAAAGAGAGAGGATCTGTAAAAAAAAACAGCTAAACAGACACACAAGGAATTAACCTGATCAGTTTGATTACAGATCTATATAGAATGGAAGATTTAGACTTAGGGCACCTTAGTCTAAGTTACCCTTCCCAACTGATTTTGGACCACAATTCTTATCTTACACGAACTGTGCTGGTTGAGAGATGTAGTCATCTCTCAACCAGCCTATCCCAGGCATTTAAATTTTGAAGCCAAAATCTGAGATTTAGAGTGACTTCTTGCGATGTAAAGGGGAAGCCCTAATGATGTCATTAAGCATGATATATTAATTTGCAACCACATGGTTTATTTGGCACAAACTTTGATGGACCACCCAATTCTTCAGGTACATCAAAGGCAAATAAAGTGTGTTACTCTTTAAGTCCACAAACTCACAGTTGCTTTCATGGACCTTCCCGTGGTGCAGTGAGTTAAACCCTTGTGCCAGCAGGACTGCTGACTGAAAGGTTGGCAGTTTGAATCCAAAGAGTGGGGTGAGCTCCCATCTGTCAGCTCCAGCTTCTCATGCAGGTACATGAGAGAAGCCTCTCACAGGATAGTAAAACATCCGGGCATCCCCTGGGCAACGTCCTTGCAGAGGGCTAATTCTCTCACACCAGAAGTGACTTCAGTTTCTCAAGACGCTCCTGACATGGAGAAAAAGCTGCTTTTACAGCAGTAAAGTGATGTATATTTTGACCCCAAGACAGACCTATCACAGGGCTTTCTGAGGCTGAGAGTGTGTGACATGCCCAAGGTCACACTGGGTTTTCATGGCTAAGCACCGGGATTGTGGCGCAGCTGGCTGAGTGTCAGCTGCATTAAGATCACTCTGACCAAAAGGTCATGAGTTCGAAGCCAGCCCGGGTTGGAGTGGGTTTCCAACCAATTGTGTAGCCTGTTGTCGACTTTTGCAACCCAAAAGACAGTTGCATCTGTCAAGTAGGAAAATAAGACACCACCTTAAAGTGTGGGGAGGCTAAATTAACTAATTTATGAGGCCATAAAAAAGACTCCTGCAAAGCACTCCAGCAAAAAAGCATGCGGGGAATGCAGAAGTATTTCATCAGTGTTGCAGATGGACGATGAAAGCGACAGCTCCCCTGGCGGCCAGAAAAAGTTAAATAGCCTCTGTCTATGTCTGTATATGTTGTATGTTAAAATTGGCATTGAATGTTTGCCATATATGTGTACACTGTAATCTGCCCTGAGTCCCCTGTGGGGTGAGAAGGGCGGAATATAAATGCTGTAAATAAATAATAAATAAATAAGTGGAGATTTGAACCCTGATTTCAGTGTCATAGTCCCAACACTCAAACCACTGTGCAATGCTGGCTCTCGATGCCATACTGGGTTTCCTCTCTCCTTAAAAGTTCTACTTTGAAAGTGAAATATTTGAATTGGTGTTTTGTGTTCCTGTGAACGGACTGGAAAGATTGCTTATGTTTGAGAAACATGGTATAGTAAAATAAATGTCTGAATAACTAACTCAAATAAATATTTTAAACCCAGAATTATTCCTTGCATTGTTAAGTGTATTCTAAATATGTCTGGATGTGACATCCTTTGAACATTTCTGCAGGCTGCTGACTTGACTCTCAGCATGCCAGTCTTGGTACCGTGGCAGAAGGAAGACATTAATGCTTATATAATGAGCATTTGGTGTTCTTTCCAGAATGTTTTGGCATTAGAGATGTTCCTCATTTTCTTTTGTATTAAACCAAGGTCTTTCAATATTTCAGCTCTTCTGGGAGAAGCGGCTGCAAGGCTTAAGTGCGTCAGATGTGAGTGAGCAGATCATCAAATCCATGGAGCTGCCAAAAGGCCTTCAAGGTATTCTGTACTTAAGTGACATTTTTTGTCCCTAGACCATAATTATTTATATATAATTATTAATTGTTTAACTCAATTTTCTTTATTCATTTTATTTCTCAAATCACAGGCTGTGAAGTAACAGTATGTGTGATTACCTAATATGGATGTTTCATTTTACATATTCTGAATAAAAAGTTTGCTGAAACAACTACTTTTCTTTAGTGATGTAGGAACTTATCCCTATCATTTCCATATTATTTCTGCCACCAGTTCCAAGTGTTCTGTAAAATAAGTCGTTTCATCTGCTTCATTAGCTAACGTATACCTGAATTTAGAGCCTCCAGTGTTGTAACAGGTTAAACCACTGAACTTGCTGACCAAAAGGTTAGCGGTTTGAATCTGGGGAGCGCAATGAGCACCCGTTGTTAGCCCCAGCTTCTGCCAACCTAGCAGTTCGACAACATGCAAATGTGATTAGATTATTAGGTACCACTTTGGCGAGAAGGTAATGGCACTCCATGGTGTCATGCTGACCACATGAACTTGAAGGTGTCTATGGACAATGCTGGAGCTTCAACTTATAAATAGAGATGAGCACCATCCACCAGAGTCGAACACAACTAGACTTAATGTCGAGGGGAAACCTTTACTTTTACCCTATACTTGTATTCAGTTTTGCAAAACTTTGTCTGAGTTGAATCTACCAATAGGCAGAACTTGGGGAGGTTACTTATTTGGACTAAAACTCCCACAAGCTCTATGGTTTTATGGCATGGTTTAATGACAATATAACTGAATATATTATAACTGCAGGTGGTTTGGAAAAATGCTCAGAAACTTCAGTGGGCCAAAAAACTGGAGCCAGATTATTCTTGTAACAGAAACTGCATTCACTACCATTTCATTTCTATGCAAAGTTCAAAGTGCTGACTCAGATCTGCAAAGCCCTATAACAACTCCAGGCTATCTGGAAGACTGAATCTTCAGAATATCTGAGCTTTAAATTTTTCAGGAGAGTTAAAGAAGAAGCTGTTCTTCCAGTTCTGTTACACTGAAAGGTACAGCTAGTAGGAACATGAGAGAAGGGCATCTGGATTTATGTTGATTGTTATAAATCAGATTTTGGGGGAAAACACAAGATATAAGTGAATACTTTTCCAATCTCTGTCGAAAAGTTATGGTCTTATGTGTGGGATTTTTTTTTTGTTTGAGATTACAGAAACTTTCACAGAGGGGAAGAATGTGAAACAAGAAACCCAATATAATTTTAGCAAAAGGAAGATGAAAGAAATGATGCCTTTTCAAACTGTCCGAACGTATTCTCCCCTATGAACCATCAAGAGTGCCAAGATCTTCTGGAGAGGCCCTGCTCTTGGTCCCGCCACCTTCGCAGTTGCGTCTGGTGGGACAGGGCCTTTTCTGTGGTGGCCCCCTGGCTATGGAACTCTCTCCTGAATGAAATTAGATCTGCCCCCTCCCTCCTGACCTTTAGGAAGCTAGTGAAAACCTGGCTGTGCAACAATGCTTTTGCAGAATGATGGTTGAG